GGCGGCGGAGGAGGTAATGGCGGAAGGCGGTGCGCAGGGGGGAGACTCTGACAGCGCGGCTGGTGACTCCGACAGCGCGGCTGGTCAGACGGCCGAGGAGCCCCAGACCCCTGCAGAGAATGCACCAAAGCCTAAAAATGACTTTATCGAGAGCCTGCCTAATTCGGTGAAATGCCGAGTCCTGGCCCTCAAAAAGCTGCAGAAGCGATGCGATAAGATTGAAGCCAAATTTGATAAGGAATTTCAGGCTCTGGAAAAAAAGTATAACGACATCTATAAGCCCCTACTTGCCAAGATCCAGGAGCTCACCGGTGAGATGGAGGGGTGTGCATGGACCTTAGAGGGGGAGGAGGAGGAGGACGACGAGGAAGAGTACGAGGATGAGGAAGAGGGGGAAGAGGAGGAGGAGGAGGAGGAGGAAGCTGCGGCAGAGGCTGCTGCGGAGGCGGCGGCCGCCAAAGATGAGGGTCCCCACTCTGCGGTGTCTGATGACGCCAAGAAATAAGCGGGGGCAGAGATTGAAGAGGAGAATGACGACGAAAACAAAATCCCTATTTTTTTTTTTTTTCCAATATTGGTGGACTTAAAAATAAGGCTCAGGTTTGGGACCAAAATGCAATGTGAATCAATTCTGACATTCCTACCTAAAATTATATTAAATTGAAGCAGTCAGATCCTGGCCAGTCCGTTTCAAATTTTTCATTTTGAACACAATAAATAAAAGGTGTTGAAGAAAACAAGTTAAATTTAAAATGATTTTTTTCATGATCTCTTCTGCACAGACTGCAGTTGAGGCTTATTAAGGGTGTCAAGTAGATGTGAAGTAAAGAATGTAACTTTGAAACCTATTCATTCCACTGTCATCACACTACACACGGAACACCCAGACCAAGACTGAACATGTTCTCAATGCTTAATTCTTCAGTTTCTTTAGTCCGGACATTTTCCAGTGCAGAAAAAGCAGAACCCAGAAGAATCTCATCTTTTAAGACTTTGCTTTTGTAACCCACACATCAGCTTTACACTTCAGAGAAGAGTGATGGAATCGTGGAAGCCTCTGATGGAGATCATGACAGTACTGTTTAATGAGGCCTGGAAAACTGCCACTTCAGATTCTAAAGAATGTTCTGAATGTTTGAATTTAGACAAGCAACATGGTTCTGAGAAGGAGGGTGTATAACCTGTATAATATTGTCAACATATGTGTTTGTTATTTACAGTCTCATGTTTATGTGTTTTCTTGGTAGTGTCTATTTACAAAGGTGTATAAAAAAACCCCCAAATGTTTAAGTATTAAATCCCTTTACCTAGCATTCTAGAAATATTAATTTACTTGAAAAGATGTAGAATGTAGCAAATCCCGTAAAGCATGTGTATTCAGTGTTACGTAGTTTGATCCTTGTGAAGTCTTTTTTGTCATGTAGCTTTTAGAATGTAGCTGTGAAAATTATCAGAACTCTTCAATGAAGCTAATGTTTGGAAAAAATAAATACTTGAAGAACCAATCCAAGTGTGTGTCCCCACCCCCAGCTCAGAAGTAGAAGGGTTTCAGTTTGCTTGTATTAGCTGTGCCTTCATTATTTTGCTATGTAAATGTGACATATTAAATAAAAAATGGTGCATATTCAAATTTTACTGCTTGAGGACAGACTGTATATACAGTTAAGGATTTTCAGGAAGGACACATTAAATGTAAAAACTCTTAGCTTCTTTGTGGGTTTTGAATTTTGTGTGACTCAGTGATCTATAAAGAAACATAAGCATAAAGTTGTTTACCACTGTAGTGTTAATAAAACAGTATTTTCAAAAAACAAAAGGACTCAAGTACTCTGCCTGCCTGCAATCAAATCCCAGCTCTGCCTCCTATAAGCAATGAACCTTAGGCAATTCAGTTGATCTGTTTCAGTTTCTCCTTCTATAAAAGGGGATAGTAACAGCCCCTTCCTCACAATTTTGGAGAATAAGTCAGTTAATACACAAAGTCTGTAGGATAGTGTCTGACACATACTCAGTGCTCAAGAAATTTCAGCTATTATTATTTATTTTTTTATTATTACATGAAAGGTAAAGACACTGATTGGAAATTCAATCCTCCTTCCCTCCCCAGGTACAAAAGGGGGAAAAAATAGACATCATTATATTCTTAGGTTTATCATTCCTCATCAGAGAAGATGTGGCCTTTAATTTAGAAACAGGAAATTCAATAACCTATCTCATTTTGGTTTCCTCAATATAAAATCAGGTTTTAATTTCCTCCCAGAAGAGATAAAAGACTTTTAATGTGATATTATGCATATGTAAAAAAGGCTACTTAAACTTTACATCTGGGCATCCTGAATGAAGCAAAATAATTTAAAAATTAAAGACCCCCCCCTTAAAAATGAAAAACTCAGATGCATTTTCTTCCATTTCTCTAAAGCGTTAAAATTACACAAGTGAAATTATGCTACTTTACCTTAAGGATTGGAAGGCAGCTCTGACCTGTTGCTACTGGCAATAGTAGAGTTAAACCTTAATATAATAATAATCATCCTTACGGCCAGGCAACCGAAAGAGAAAATCAAAATAACATATTATCTAAGAACTCAATGATTATATTAATCATAGGATTATCCTAATAGAAGCAAAAACTAATAAAATTTAATATTTATTTCTTATCTCTAGGAGACTCCTTTAATATTCTAGGTCCATCTAGTAAAAAAGCAAAAATGAATGAAATAAGGAGTGCAATTATTGGGGAAAAATTTTTTTGCAGGTATATAATTATATATAGAAAACCCAAGAGAATCAACTGAAAATTATTAATATTGAATAAATTCAAGCAATTGACCAGTTGCCAGATAAATATACAAAAACCATTAGCTATTTCTAGGTACCAATAATGATCAAAACACATGGAAAGACTTTCATAATAGAAATAAGAAAAATATTTATAAAAACCTCTAATAAAAAATATGTGTAACCTATGTGAAAAGGAAAAACAAAATCAGAAAGAAATGTAAAACAGGTCTTTGGATGGTAAGACTGAATACCACAAAAGTGTCAATTCTTCCCAAATTAACTTTTAATTTATCACACTTCAAATCAAAACCCAAACTGCATATAATTAATCTAATGTTCACCTGTAAGAATAGCTAAGGAAACTAGCAATATGGGAACAATTCAGATTTTTACCTTAGACTACAGACATCCCAACCCTGCCTGAAATTTTTTTAAGTGAAAAGAATACATTATGTATTTATCAATTACTGGATAGGAGAAGGCTGAGATTGGTGATATGAGACCAAAAGAAATAATCAACAGACATGACAACACAGAAATTAATACATTATAGAGATTTAAACACAAGCACTCCACATTTTCAAAAAGCAAACAACTGGGAATACAATTTATAATAAATACAAATGGCAAAGGGTTTAAAAGTCTTAATAAAGAGTTCCCACAAATCATATGAAAGTCATTTAGTCCCAGTACAGAAATACATAAAGGACATCAGCAGACTACTTAAAAAAGAAGAAATACTACAGCCCTGTCTGGGGCAGAAAGACACATCCTGAGAGGGCAGCACTAAGTTGACCAGGGCTCCGGTGAGGTCTGGAATACACGCATTCCCAGCTGAGTGCTCTGACCAGCGGTCTTCCTTCCACTTAGGGCAAGACTTGAGCGGTAGGGTTTTCTAGCTACCAGTCACACCACTGTTGGCCACATTTCCCAGGACACAGGGACGCTTACGATGCCCTTCACAATGTCAGGCAGTTTCCACCGTTTCCTAACCCGGTTGATCTTTACCCTCTGTTTCCTGCACTACTTATTTCATTAGGAAATTCCTCAGGCAGCCATACAACTTGCATGTTAACATCTAGCAGGATACCCTGCCTTCAAGGTGGGTCAAAAACTATCACTCAGTGTTAATCCATTATATGCTCAAATTTGTCAGCAATGCACACAATAACTGGCAGGAAGAAAAGCAGCACACATTACACATTCAGTTCAGTCTCTCAGAGCATTATGCAGGAAAAGTGTCGCATCCCGACGCTCACTGCCAAAGCATGACACAGCAGTTCTCCCTGCCTGAGAGTTCACACTCAAGGCAGACAGAGAGACACATATGCACGTGCATACACATATACACACTTTTTATTGAGAAGAAATTCACATAACATAAAATGAACCATTTAAATGAACAATTCAGTGGCATTTAGTACATTCACAATACTGTCTATTTCTACTAATTCACAGGAAAATGCATCAAAGCTGTGCAGAATAGGAAAAGTAGCCTAGGTGTGTAAGATATGCAAAATTTTACAAATGCAATAGAATTTATTACTTTTTTTTAAAGAGAATATTCAGCGTTTATAAGGATTAGGTAAAACAAGTACTCTCATACACTGATGATAATATGCAAATTGATATATAATTCATTAGTGAAATCAATTTAGCAAAAACATCTATAACCAATTCAAAATGATATACACTAATGCAATTTCACCCTTGGGATCTTATTAAAAAGCAATTTTAAAGGCAAACAAAGCTTTAGACATAAAAGATGCTTGATAGGTCTTCTTAAAAATGAAGGAAGAAGGGAGAAAAATAAAAAAGAACTTAGAAGCCAAATACCCCAAAGCGAGAAAGCAGAACATACACATTCACATGGCAGACCGTGTAGTCATTATTAAGGGTGTCCGTGAGGGCTTTGTAATAACATGGTAAATATAAGCACTGTCTTAAGCCAAGTTTAAAAATTCAGACATATAATTTTATACATATATAGTGTACTTTTAACTATGCCAACTTTGTTTTTTAAAAACTCCACAGTGTGCCTGAAAGGAAAACGGCAAACTTCTAATTCATGTCTCTTCCTGGGTTGGGGAGGGGGGTGGTGGACAGAACTTAAGTCCTGGTCTTGGCCTTGAAGGGGCAGTGTGTGGATGTTCACAGAGCACAAGCTCTCATCTCACTCACAATGCCTGGCTTTGAATCCTAGATTTCTAGCTGTGTCACCCTGAACAAGTAACTTATGCCTCTCTGTGTCCCAGTTTCTGCATCTGTAAAGCGGGGAGGATTACATGTGAAATACTTAGACAAATGTAAGCACTCAAGAAATGTTACTGGCATTTTAATCATCTGCTATTTCTAGAACGGCCCAATGCAAATACAAGGTAGATCTTAAAGATTACACCTGTATTATCTCAAGAGATCAATTCAAGTCTGTTAGCAGTCCTAACTTCAGGAGATCTTAAGGAACTGGAAGTGTTTGTCACGTAGGATTTTTTCCTCAGGTTCTCACTATCGGAATCTGGGTGCCCTCTGGAGCACTTACTTTAAACCTCGCATTCCTCACTGGGTGGTCTTTTTACTATTTTCCCCATCCCTTTCTTAATTTAAAAACTAAAGACACTGATCGGAAATTCAGTGTGGCAGAAATGGGAAAAGACATCAATTGTATTTAATTTGACTATATTAAATTGAGGTCAATTTGGGGGAATCTAGAATGACATGTGGATTTTTCATTAATGGTAATAACACCATGTTACAGAGTATGAGAAATCCTTAACCATGAGTAGTCATTATCCAGATGTGATCACCAGCTGTGGCAAGATTTGGCTATGATGTAGCCACCAGCAATCACCTACGGATGTTCTTTTACTTGAATGCTTAGAACTCATTTGACTATCTGCAGCTCTTATCCAAGGATAGAATACAATCTTAAGACCAAATGAAATAATAATAAATTATGGATAAAGAATTGGTATCTTTCTGGCATTTTCCTCCAGGGCAGCGATGACAGCAAATACCTTACCGCTAACTCAACAAATACCTTACTGTTAAGACACTGCTTATTGTTAAGCAGTATCTGTGTATTCAACTGCCTACAAGTTAAAATCCAGCAGGCATTATTCTTATCATTCTTTCGTCCAGTTTTCTTAGACCCATCTAAGAAATACCCAAAAAGGACCCCAACCCCCAGTGATGAGATTATGACATATACTAGACAAAAGGAAAAAAGAGCTGCAATGATTAATCTTTCACAGTTGTATGCAACATTTCTTACCAGGATTTCAGTATGCTTTGTTGAGAAGATTTCTGCTTTTGCAGCACAGAATAAAAAGAAGAGATATCCACTCATGTCTTTCTAGCTGTCCTTCACCGTGACAGTGATACTAAGCAATGTGGCAGGAACCACACTCGGTTCTCAGAAGTTTCTCCAACAGGTAACTGTGTGACAGAAAGAAGGTCTGCCTCCTGGCCCAAGTACAAAGGCACGTACGACAGCGCCTAAAACAGCATGGATGAGTTCACTGTGTGCTCAAGGAGTGCTAGTGACCCAGAAAAGTCAAAACATAAACTTCACCAGAGATAGCAGCTGTTCCACACAATAATCCCAAACACAGTGTGTTGGCAATCAAAACAGGAGTCCACCACCCTCTGCCTGGCAATTTTTAAAACTACAGCACTCTCTATTGTACAAAGACTTGAAGACTTTTGAAGCTACTTTTTAGAAGTCATGGTAACAGAATAATGGAACTTCATAATACAAGTAAAAGAATGACGTGGGCTCCCTTCTCTTTACTCTCTTGAATTTAAGTATTGTCTTTCTTTTAAGGAAACTGTGTGTCATCAAAACATCCTTATTGAAAATGTGTTGTAGGAGCAGCCCTGAAGCCAATTAGCGGCAAACAACTGCAAAGTAAGAGAAAAGGAGCCCACATATTTTTTAAAGATTTATTTATTTATTGGAGAGAGACAGAAAGCACACACAGGAGAGCAGGGGAGAGGGGGGATAGGGAGAAAGAAACTTGAGCAGACTCCATGCTGAGCGCAGAGCCTGATACAGGGCTCGATCTCACGACTCTGAGATCACAACCCAAGCTGAAACCAAGAGTCAGACACTCAACTGACTGTGCCACCCAAGGTCCCCCCCCGCGACCGGAACATGCCTTTTAAACATAAGCACGCTCTTCCACACTGATTCTGAGCACCACTCCTGGGGTTAAGCATTGTCCATGAGTGTGTATGTGTCAGCAGCAGATTTATAAACAGTGGAGAAGGAAAAAAAGAAGAGGAAAAAACAACATTTGCCAGGAACCTACTTCTAGCATGTAACTCCTTAGCTCACAAACCAACAGTGGCTTCTTACTACCTGCTGAATGAAGTCTAAAATTCTCTAATTTCCAAAGACTTCTACAATCTAACCCCCAAGGCTAAACTATTGTGGGTCCTCCAAATGAAGCTTCTCCCAGCAAGGCCCCCTCAACCAGTACCCAAACCCCACACACACTCACTCACTGTTCTCTCCCTGAAATAACAACTAAGATTTAGCCATCACTCTATGGAGCACCTTTCACTTTTACTGTGGTCTTTGTCTCTATACTTTCTGTTATCCAATAGTTAGTAGGTTTCGCAACCTAGCTCTAGGCCATATCTGACCTCCCGGGTGTATGTGTCCAAGTTGCTAACTCTGAACTCTTCAGATTCAACACTCCAATTTAGCCTACTTCACTTTTGAAATACGGCTGCACATGAGAAGAGCTTACACCCTAAAGAGACTGTGTTATATTTCAGTATTCCTGAACACTTTACCTCTCAACTATTCAGTCAATTCAATTGATGATTCAAAGAAATATCTATTGAATAAGGAGAGACAGTGAGCGTGATAGGGAAGGAGAAGCAGAAACAGGAAGAGAGAAAAACTCAGACCCAGAGAGAGAGAGAAAAAGAAAAGCAGAGACAAAAAGTACTCTAAGAGTAATACTTTTATAAAGTAAGAAAGAGTTGTAAGTCCCAACAACTGCCTCAAGTGCAGACTACATCACAAGTGGCCTACGCCTGCCCTGGATCACCGTCCAACCCAGTGTACCAAACACACAGAGCTCTACGATAACTCACCATAGTATAGAGACATTCTGAATGTTCCCTTCCTCGGGCCACAGGCCTAGCCCGTTGTTAGCTTCTACAAAATGATGCACACGTTATCTTGTCTGAAACTTGATACAAAAGCTCAGACATTCTTTGAGAACTAAAGGCAGATACGTACAATATATACATGATAAAACAATCATCAAAACGATAAGAGAAATCTTCTAGGCCAAAAAATCCACTCTATGATCTGCCATAAATTTCCCAATTCTAAAAACATTATCAGACTGTAGGGAATATATAAGCCTGTTCTTATTTGAAAAAAATAAATAGATCATTTGCTGCGAACAAAGTACCAATGTTTTGCAGATAAAGACAGTATATTTAGCTCCAAGGGATTCTTTTTTTTGCTCCAAGAGATTCTTATTGAGTCTTGATTGAAACACTACTTGACACAACACTAGCCTCTATATTAGGTTCCTAGAATTAAGGTAATTTCATCATCTGAAGCCATTTTTGTTGGGCACTTACTTTCCCCAAAGCTGAGGCTCCCTGGATAGTCTGGAAGGTTTACATAACAAAGAAGGTTACTGAATGTGACATTAGACCTCACAGTCTTCTAGTTGTCTTTAAAAATGTGCAAGGATGCAAGGAGAGGTCTGTGTTTTTCTAGATCTGCAACAGTTATCCCCTAAACCTAGGCCTGGTGCTTCCTCTAATATTAAAAATTAATTACAATCTGCAAATTCTTGCTCTCTCACCCTTGCCTCCTCTGCAGAAGGGATTAAGATTTAACTTCAATCTTGGTCTTAAAAGTAAAAGGGCAGAGAAATAAAGTAGCAACATCCGCAAGGGTCCAAGGTCAGGACTAACCTGTTATCCTTGCACACAGTTACTTTGTCCCCCCCAGGTATCAGCTTCTTCTGTTCAATCACACCATAGCTCTCTCGACATATCTATATTTAAGGAGGAAAAAAAAGAGATGCTTCAATTCTGTTTACCACTTATCTTTCTAGAATCCACATGACTGAGAGAAGCTTTAGGAACAAATGTAGCTTAATCACTACTTACACAGAAAATTCTTGGGAAAAGAGAACCTGATGCAGAAAACATCAGTACCTTAAAAGATATCCTGTGTTTTAAGACATGCAATTGCCAATATATATGCAGTCAAAGAGAAAACGGTATGAACTCTAGAAATCTATGTATCAAGAGTAAAGAGGACTAATGTTTCAGTAATTTTAAGTTCACAGATGAATCATTCATTTATTCAACATCTTTACTTAACTCCTTTAAGAATCAAGACATTATAACTAAAATAAAATTTGTTCAGAGAAGACCCTGAATTTATTCTTCGATTCGGAGAACAACTATACGTTCATTATGACTTGTGAACATGATGAAAGGGAATGCCACAATCAGACGTAAACTGTGGAAATCCTTACCGTGAAATTGAGGCAGAAAGTATCCTCAATATCTTCCCCAGGGTAATCTAAAAGTTCTTGAAGACTCCTAATGACAGAATAGAGAAAGGAAAAGAGGCAAATTAGACACTGTAATAGTGTTTCCACCTCAGTCATACAACCAGAATCCTTGCAAGGAAAAACTAAAAGATTCTAGGATAAATGTAAATCCAGACTGACAGAAAATTGTGTTTATACCTTAAAAAGAAATATGGCAGGGACAACTGGGTGGCTTAGTCGGTTAAGCATCCAACACTTGGTTTCGGCTCAAGTTGTGATCTCAGGGTCGTGAGATCAAGCCCACACCAGGCTCCACGCTCAGCGCAGAGTCTGCTTGTCCCTCTCCCTCTGCTCCTCTCCCCTGCTCTCTCCACCCCCACTCTAAATACAAAAAATCTTAAAAAAAAAAAGAATGGCAGTAGACCTGTAAGACATTCATTAATTATTCTCTTTTCCCACTGAGAAATCTTACTAGATTTATGAAGAAATTCAGATAGATTTATGTCTGACACATTTGTGTTCCTTTAACTGTGGTTAAAGGACCGTGGAAGTCAAATACGAGGACATGGTACTATAGTGGCCCTACAGAATGTCTCCATCCACATGGATTAGAATAATCCTTCCACCATAAGAAAGCCACAAAGTCACCTCATCCACCTAGGAATCTTAATTGGCTTCTTGTTAATCCAAGGGGCTCTGTAAAGTGACTCTATTACCTGCCATACTAAAGAACACAAACATGTCCTCTTAAAACAAGAATATGTTTATACCAACAATGGTCATATCCTAGCTTTCAAGAGAATATATTCTTGTGACCAGACTTCATTCACACTTTTTAAGTGAGCTCTGAGTCCAGTTCCATCAAGGGTTGCCCAGGAAGAAAATTCTTAGCATGGAATTTAAATCCACTACCAGTTAACCACCCAAAATCATTACTTCAAATATATCCTTAGCCAGCTGGCTGGCAAAGTAAATCGCACACACTTCAACCACTCTCTAGCCTTCTTCAGTTAACCCAAAATTAACCCTGCCAGGGTCTCCTCCGCTCTTTTTCAATGTGCCTTCTAAATGTTCTCTTCCTCTCTCTGTGTCCCCACCCCTCCCATCCTTTATGGTTTCTCAGTGTTGGTGTCCTACACAGGTGGTGTAGCAGTCTCACTTCCAGAGGGGACATTAGAAATGACCATTTCCCTATCTCCATCTCAAAATTGGTACTCTTTCTCCATAAAAAGGGCTGTTCCTTCCGTTGAAGCCAAAAGGATTATATGTCTACAGAAATCCAAGGATATGGTGTTTTTTATATATCTGATCTTATGCTACCTAAATTAAGGCAGAAAAAGTCAGAATCAAAGGGGTTTTAAGAGCCAGAAAGAGAATAACATAAAAATATGGCTCCACTACTCTGGAAAACAGTGTGGCAATTCCTCAAAAGACTAAACACAGAGCCACCAGATGGCCCCAGCAATCCCACTCCTAGGTATACACTCAAGAGGAATGAAAACTTACATCCACACAAAAACTTGTATAAGAATGTCCACGGTAGCATTATCCATGCCAACTTAAAAGTGGGAACAACACCAATTTCCATCAACTATCAACTAACGAATGGATGAACAAAATGTCATACATATCCATTCAATGGATTATTATTTGGCAACAAAAAGAAATTTAATACTGACACATGTTTCAACATGGCTGAACCCTGAAAACATGCTGCGTCAAAGAAGCCAGACACAAAGGACCACATATTGCATGATTCCATTTATATGAGGCAAGTCTACACAGACAGAAAGCAGATTAGCTGGTGTCTAAGGGCTTTGGGGAGAGGAAACTGGGGATGACAACTAAGGAGGACCAGGTTTCTTTTTTGGGCAATAAAAATCTTCTAAAATTGTGGTGATAGCTACACAACTCTGAATATACTAGAAGTCACTGAATTGTATACTTCAAGTAGGTGGACTGTATGGTATGTGAATTATATCTCAATCAAAATTTTTTTAAATACTCCCTTTTCAGTACTTTCTCTCTATTTCTGGACCATGACAAGTCTCCACCCTTTATTTTTGTTCAGGATAAGGAAGGGTGAGATGATTTTGTAGCCCTGGACAACCATGACCTCCCTTTTCCTTGGCCCCCTCTGCCATAGGCCATGCCTCAAGCAAGTAGCAGTGCATCTGCATCTTAAGAGTCTAGCCATATGGGGGTGCCTGGGTGGCCCAGTCATTAAGCGTCTGCCTTCAGCTCTGGTCATGGTCCCAGGGTCCTGGGATTGAGCCCCGCATCAGGCTCCCTGCTCGGCGGGAAGCCTGCTTCTCCCTCTCCCACTCCCCCTGCTTATGTTCCCTCTCTCACTGTCTCTCTCTGTCAAATAAATAAATAAAATCTTAAAAAAATAAATAAATAAAGAGTCTAGCCATATGGTTTGATAAACTCAAGCTTGTCCATGTGGTATTTTCAACCTTTAATCCCTGTGCCACAGGCAGCCAGAGCAGTCCCCATCTTTTAGCTTTGTACCTTCCTTCAGTGGGTGAGAGCTCCTTCAGGTCTTCCAAGCCAGGCTTCACGTTCAGTAACTTCTTGTAGAGAGCCAATGGGAAGTGGAGGTCGACCACAGTGGAGTTGTAGATGGCTAGTCCACAGGTTATGCCAATCAAGTGAAACCAGTTGTGCTCTACAAAACACTTTTCAGTATGTATGCAAACGTGTTAAAAAAAAAAAAAAAGGAATGCACTGCTTGCAGCCCTCAAAACACTGCCATTTACCTCAGAATATTTTCAGTATAGAAGAATAAAGACCTCATTAATACTCAGTCACCTTCTGAAGCAGAGAGACACCCTGCAACACCACCAAAAACTGCAACCTAGACAAAGCTAAGCATTTACAGCTCATCTAGCAACACAGAGAAGAGCAGATCATCTTCTAGAGCAACGCTGCCCAACAGGACTTTCTGCTCTGATGAGAACAGTCTATTCCATGCTGTGCCATCACCCAGCCACTAGCTACACCTACTGAGCACCTGAAGTGTGGCTAACACAACTTTGGAAAGAAATCTTAAACATTATTTAATTTTAACTAACTAAAATTTAGATTTAAATACCTACATGTGGCTAATGGCTACATTTTTGAAACAGTGCAGATCTAGGGAGAAAACTCCAACAGAAAAAAGAACTAAATTATAGTCTGGTTAAAATTAGATGCCATTTAAAGCTTAGCTCTCCTACTGAATTTTCAAAAATAACATGTGTGCCTGTTTTTGTGTAAGTATTCACACACATACCACATTATTAAAGTAAGACGTACTTGTCTATCACTTTCCACATGTCATAAAACTCATTTCTTTATCACACTGTGTTCTTTTTACCCTTCAAAGAATAACAAAACCTGGCTCTTACCTACCAGGAAGGGAAATGGGGCTGATTGGTGACAAAATACATGAGATCTTGGCAACAAGTGAAAATGAAGACTAGATACATTATTTAGACTGTTTAAATTATCTTTGTTATGCTCCCCTTTGTAAAGTCAGAAGTCAGGGGATTGGTCTGACCACAAAAAGAAAATCTAATGCAATCCATCTGTTTAACTGCAATATCACTAACTTACCTTATCTGAAAACCACAAGAGATTTGAATCCTGATAGTAGGTAAACATTCCGTAGATAGGATTCAAAAGTTCTTTTAACAGTAAAAGAAAGAACTCCTTTGTGACACCACCAGCATCCACTGCTTCTTCACCATCAAAGATTACCTTAAAATAATGAAAGTAAAATTAATACTTCAGGGAAATCTTTGATGTTTTATCTTTTTTTAGCAAACTCTTTCCAAAGTCAGGACAAAGCAAGAAATATATAACAGAGAATACACTGATGCAATGAAAACTGCAAGGTGTATGTGCTGATTATTAACAAGGCAGTTACAGACACACAAAATTTCTACTAGGTACTCCAAGGAATACAAAGGAAGTCAGAAGTTTACCATATGTCCATGGAAAGTTTACCATCTATTTGGGGCAGTAAGGCAAACATAAAATAATCAATTGGAGAATATATTTTCTATCTATCTCTCTATTTATTTATTTATTTTTAAAGATTTTACTTATTTAAGAGAAAGAGAGGGCATGAGCCAGGTGGAGGGGGGGGGAGAGGGAAAAGCAGACTCCCCACTGGGCAAGGAGCCCAATGTGGGGCTCAATCCCAGGACTGAGATCGTGACCTGAGCTGAAGACCGACACTTAACTGACTGAGCCACCCAGGCGCCCCTATATTTTATTTTCCAAGAATCAAATATATTGAGAGGTAAATGTTCTGGCACATAGAAAAAAGCAATGATTAAATTGAGTAAAGGAACACTTTCCAGAAGAAATCTCTCTCAGTGGGGCTCTTGAAGGAACTGATGCATATGGACGGAAGGAGGGCATTCGAAGGAGGCACAGACTTGGGTTCTGTGAGGGGCTATAACCACATCTATGCAGGGCATCCCGGACCCATAAGGATCATCACAGTAACAGCTACAGCAGACCAACAAAGGAGATTTATTGAGAGTTTGTTACATGCCAGCATTTAAACCCTATTAACCTAATGAGAGCAGCCTCATGTGTAGGGACTGCTATTATTATCCCCATTTTACAGCCGAGGGCTCAGACACAGAGCTAAAAATAGCATTTGAAAAAGTATATCCTTCAACACTATTCTGCAGATGTGTGGAGAAAAAGCAAAAGAGGCAGAAGAACTTTGATTAGATCTTGAAGATGTAAAAAATATGTATAAGACTCAAACAGATGAACTTTTAAGACAAAGGCTCAGTTAACTCTTGATTACATTCCTATCAAACTGAATGTAAACATTTAATATCTAAATGTAGACTTCCAATAAGTTCTTTTATAGAATTACAAGGGAAAAAAAGAAAAAGAAAAAGTGTATCCTTGTGGCTGGGTTCCAGGCTGCTGAGAGCAGGACAGGAGCAAAGGTGGGGACAGACACTAGGACCTCGATTGTACAGATGCCAGCAGAAGACTTAACTCAGATGTGCTATGAAGCAACAAGGGTCTCATCTGAATTACTGACTGAAAACAGAGGGCAAAGGGAGGCGCCCTCTCTTTGTGATATCAAAAATCTAACCCAGAAGTTGCAGGGAGAACTCCCAGGCAGACAGAGGAGATTGATGCCACTCATGGGATGTTCTGGAAAGGGTGACAATAGCATGAAGACCATCAGTTCCTTGCCTACACTACCTTTTGAAAATCAGAGTTTACAACAGGAATGGCAACAGAGATCTGGAAATCATCTGAAGGGAAAGATAAAGGGCTTAAAAAACAACTTCAGATAATTCATTAAACATTAATCGAACCACCTACTAGGTACCAAGCATTGTGCTAAGCCCTGGGAATACAGTAAGTAGTAACACAAACATGCAAGGTCTATGAGGAGAGAAAAAATTTTAATTCAGTAATTTCAGGGTACTGAGAGTGCCTATCATGATAGGTCAACAGCTTCCCAATTTCACTACCTTTCCATTCTAGGTTTTTCCTTCTTTCTCTTCAATATCTGACAACCAAAGTCTTCCTAGATGCTGACTGGATAGTTTCGCCTAGTTGAAGCTTTAGTTCTGCTCTTGCTGGCTTGTTTCTGGTAGAGCTGAAGCAGGTACACCCAAGACAGCAGACAAAGAAAGCCCTATAATCCCTCAAGTAATCCACTGGCATTCTTATCTGATGGTATGTTGAGATGTTCTGTTCGATGATCTGACAGAAGGAGGTGATTAAATTCTTGTCAAATGAATGAAAGAAATCATGAATGGCTGTACTCCACAATTTTCATAATAAGACCTCTGCTGTTTCATCAACACTGTTTAAAGAAAATCCTGGAAGATATTTAGAGGAATAAAATGAAGGGCTCACTTTGAGAGGCTTTTTCAAATCAATATCAGAATGAATGCTCAGCTCTCTTAGGGCATCTCCAACGAGATTGTTCCTGCGAACGTGAAGGACCAGGAAGGGGCTTCTGGCCAGCAGAGGCTCCAAGGTGAGAAGCATGAAGACATTCTGCAGGTTAGCTCCATTGACCGCCACCTGGAACAGCACAGCCAAGAACACGATTACTCAGAGTGCACCTGGGAGCGGGGCTGGGGCAGCAATCACCTGTGCCTTTGGATCTGGGGTGGGTGGGGAGCAGGCTGAATGCTTCTCCATTCTGTTCTTTCTGATTTTCCCTTTAACTTTTCCAGATTTTCTAAGTTACTCATGTTTATAAAACACACAAATCTTCCTAATCTGAACCAAAAGAAATTAAATGAAAGTTTATGAACCATAGGACCCATAACCAGTCCCATGAAAATGACTGAGACCAGCTAATTAAGACTGAAGTAATCATCAGAGTAGGAGAAACATGATGGAGAGTTAAACAGCTTTCATTCTTTGAAAACTGTCCACTTTCTCTGGAATGCCTTTAAATTGACAATATCATGGATAGGTCACTGTGAAAACAGACATGTATGTACAGATACACACAGAGAGTGAGAGACAGAGAGAGAGAGGGATAAATGAAGAGATATACCTACCAACAATAGGAACTGGTAGATTTGGATTATTAATTCACAAATGTCTTTGTAAGCTTATCAAAACCGATTACATTTTATAATAAAAGTGTATATTTAAAATAAGTTAAACAAATCTCTGTAACTTCAGTTTTTAATCAATAAAGAATTACCAAGCTCCATTTAATTATTGCCCTATCTCCACCAGGGCAGCAAAAGATGGCCTGCAGACCAAATCCAGCCTGTTGCCTGTTTTTGTACAGCTCTTGAAATAATAATTTTTTTTTCATTTTTAAATGATTGGGGAAAAAAGTGAAAAAAAAAAGAATATTTCACATGTAAAAATTATGTAAAATTTAAATTTCAGTGTACAGAAAATTGTATTGGAAAAATGCCATGCTCATTCATCTACTTATTCTCTATCACTGCTTTCCATATTACAACATGAAATAGTTGAACAGTTGAGATAGACTGCATGGCCCCCAAAGACTAAAATATTTACTATATGGCCTTTTATGAAAATGCTTGCCAAACCCAGATCCAGGTAAACATGCATTCATGTATGTGTTATATTCAACATAAAATTGCTGAAAAAACTTAAAATAGTTCTAAAAAGTTATAATGGCCCTGTTAGACTCTCTCCTGTTAGTAAAAGTTACAACAGAATGCTTAGGATGAACAGAACACAGTAAGAGGAGGAAATGATTTTTAAAATATGATACCTGCATCTGTAGTTCAGCATCGGTCTGTAACATTTTGGTCTTGGCTTGGGCATCAAAGATGAAAGGGTAGGAACAAAGTGTGACAGTATCCTAGAATAAAACATATTACTGGCGATATTATAGTGGTCCACAGAGAAAACTGCTAGAAAAATATATAAGTAAAGGAAAAATGGATCGTTTACCTGTATTATAGATGGTCTAGCCTTCTGTGTAAAGAAAAATAAAAAGTCTCTTACTTGGATTGCAAAACCTGAACTTTCTACCCCCTGCGAGTATAAAATATAAGTAACAAAACATATAACCGATCTGACTATTTGCCCATGCAGAGAGCGAACACCATTTGAACGGCTGATTGGTTTTTGATGGAACAGACCAGATGTTTTGATGGGTACAGACTGAGAAAAAAATATAAAAACAAGTATAAAAAATTTTAAAGGACCTTTAAAGACCATTTCACTGACTCCATAATTTACAGCATTAATAAAATGCTCTTTTTTAAGAAATCTAATTCCAAAACAGGAGCTTTACAACCTTGACTTCAGATATTAATTTTGTTGGGTAAAATAGATAATGCAGATTGCATTTTATTTGTCGTCATGTTACATCTCCTTCTTACACACACACACGCGCACGCAGCTGTTATGATTAGGAGAAAACAAATATTTAGAAAGCTGTCCCTGACTCAGCACTTAGACTAGTGCTTGGCCTATAGAAGATATTCCATCAGTATGTGAATAAATCTAAATAAAATTTTGAGGATGGGAATAACAATAAATAACAACAATCACAAATGAAACATAGCTACAACAAAAACATCAACAATATACATTTGTTGATCTGCAGCAGTATTTCTCAAACAGAAAACTGCAGACTTACTTTCAGAGATCTGAGAGTGCTCTAGGAATTTTTAAAAATTCTGTGAGTTCTTTAAAAGGATATCCTAAACAAAACTAATGAAAATGCATTCTGAACAACCTCCTTGTGATGATTTTCATTTATTTTAATGATTGCACTGGTGTCATGTTATATATACTTAATTGTCCAAGGGTAATGAAAAAGAAGAAAAGCAGTCTTCCTCTGTCAGGGATGCATTTGCACCCAGGAAGAGGCCAGACCAGTCTCGGCCCACTGCATGAAGGAAGGTTGCATAGCTTCTGAAAAGAGAACAGAGCTGAGTCATCCCAGGGCCGATAGGCTGGGGGAACTCAGGCACCCAAGGCCTGACAGCAGGCAGTTCCTCTCCCCAGTGCAATGGGTTTCAATAAGATGTTTTTGCTGTCAAATTTAATCAAAAGGCTAATCTGCATTTTATTGATTTTAGACTCTTGTCTGCATTTAATTTGTAGATTTGGTTTGGTTCTATAATTGTTGAAAGGCTACTGAGTAAGAAGTGTAGAACTACCTCCTTTTGTGTTTGTGTGTATTTCGATGAAATCATTTAATAGCAATTTTCACTAAAATCCATCCTGTTAATCCTTTGGAACTAAGTTCCTTTAGAGATCTTGGAACATTTCCCTAGACTAAGAAACCCTAACTGGAGAGATGATTCTAGTCCAGTGAGACAAGGTATGGAATCATGCATATATATAATCCAGGCTAATTTGGCTCATTCTCATACCTACTATATCTAATTATTTGGAATTTAGGAACTGAAATCACTAAAAAAAAAAAAGCCCACATACCATAAAACAGCACTTCACAAAGTGATCTAGTCTAGGTACCCAGGGAGGAGCATCCTAGGGAAGTGGGTTTACAAGAGTGGCAATATTCAGAACTAAGCATTATTTGCTTATTCTCAAGGGACAAAAAAAAATCGTTAATGTGTGTTGGTCTATAAAGCAAGATAAAAGTTCTGAACACTTCAAATGTAAAAGTGACTGGGAGAGAAGTGACCAGAGGTACCGCAAAAACAGTTGCGGGCATTATAGCATCACCGCGTACCGAGTATTCTTTAATACCGGTATTTTTGTTAGGATAGGATAGTTATTTCAGAGATCAGTCAGCAGGTCTGTCTGGAGGTCCTGGCCCTCTCCAGGCCCACTGCAGTTCTCAGACCATCCTGCTGCCCTCTTGCTGCAAGCCCCACCACAAGCCCGCCCAGGTCTCCTCCAACATCTACCTCCTCAGTCCCAGTCCCTCCCATCACCCCTCACCTGACCCCTTCAGCCTTGCAAGAGCCCAGTTTTGGAAGTAGGCTGATGTCTCTTCTGTGGAAGGAGAGGAGTTAAATGGAGGGTAAGGTCACCATCCTCTCTGGGTAGGGGAGGGGAGGGTGATGGCTGCCAAAAAATCCAGAACTTCCTCGGTTAGGAACCAGAGCCAAGGCCAGAGACCTGATGGTCCATAAGACCCTCCTCACTCCAGGGGAGGGCCACAGTGCCAGCTCTAAGGAAGTCAAAGGAAGGAAGGCTATTCAGCCAAAAGAAGGAGCAGACCCATATGAAGGTCCATTTTTTTTTTTAAAGATTTACCCAGAGAGAGAGAGAGAGACAGAGAGAGAGCCAGAGGGGGGGAGGGGAAGAGGGAGAGAGAATCCCAAGCTGACTCTCTGCTGAGCACGGAGCCAGCCGCGGAGCTCGAACTTATGACCCCAAGATCATGACATGAGACGAAATCAAGAGCCAGCGACTTAATCGACTGAGCCACCAGGCATCCCTGTAAAGGTCTATTTATACGTAGAAGGTCTACAATTTTTTATAAGTCTATGGGTCTTGTATTTGAAATATAATCATTTAATTTCACTGATTTTTATTCTGTAAATGCTAACTATTTTAGAAATGTTATTAGTACTGGCATTTCTGTATTACATGAAATAAATGTTCCAACAGCAGCGTTAGGATTTTGCTCTACGGCTGCTCTCCCTAACGTAGGAGGATGAGTGTGAACTGATAAGAATATGCGATCCTCTCAGGGAGGAGGCTGCTGGTCCTGGGCCATCCACTCCCCCAAAATGAGTCTAACAAACATAAAACTAGCAAAGTACTGGTGATGGATCATATTTCAAGTGTTCCTGCTTGAAACGGAGTTAAACTGTGACCTTATTTCATTTTCAAAAGTATATTAAACAGAAGCATGGAATAAGTACATGGTACAGAACTGGGGAACTGGGAATATCTTTTTCTTCTTTTTTTAATTCCAAGTCCACATTTCCTAAGCATGGCTGTGGCTGGCTGGGGACAGGAGGTACTGTACAAACATCTGCAGCATGAGGAGAAAACACAGCTAACTCTGCCTTAGGGCCGGCCACCAGGTGCTCCTGTACCTGTCATAGACAAATCTGGCTTCCCAGCATCACTGCATGATGCTGAGGCTAAACAGTGGCCTTGTCTCACCCGTGCACAACACGGTACCTGGAGCCGAACCACTGTCCCCATGTGACACATACAGCAAGATGTCAACTCGATTCTAGCTTTTACTTCGGAAGCATTTTCTTTGTCATTGACTTTCTCCCTTGTGCTGCCCTCCATGGGAGCCCATGGAGCCACTCATTCTATGTGCTCTTCGGTTTTCAAGTGTAGAAGCTGGCAGTTTATTAACTGAAATAAACAAACCACTACCACCTCTTCTTTAAAATGAGCAAAAATCAGGGCGCCTGGGCGGCTCAGTCAGTTAAGTCTCAGGGTCCTGAAATGGAACCCCACATCAGGCTCTGCACTCAGCGTGGAGTCCACTTGTCCCTCCCCCTCTGCTCGCTCGCTCTCTCTCTGGAATAAATTAAAACAAGTCTTTAAAATGAGCAAAAATCAGCCATTCTAGAATGTTCCTTTTGTGCTCCATAGCCCTTTACACACAAGGGTTACACAGCTTTGTAATGCCTTTTTCACTGCTGCCTTTGCACTGAATACCCCACAGAGGGAACCACCACATGCTACACATGTCTCCGTCCCCAGTGACCAGGAGGCTCATGACACACATTAGGTGACCCAGAGCTGCTTACTGAAAACTAGTTAGTGAGGGCTTATTATATACATGCCACTAAGTACCCTGCCAAGTAAAGCCTTCCCATGCTTTCTCCCATCTAATTCTCATGATATTATTATAATTCTCATTTATAAATAAGGACACCAGGACTATAAGAATTAAGTAACTTGCCTAAGACAGCATAGGTAGTAGGCCACCACTGAGATCTGAACCCAGTTCTTTTTGACTACAGCATGTGCTCTGAACTATATGCTAGACTGCCTTGGCTACTACCACACTGAAACATTTGACAGGTAAAGCCATTTATTGTGATGTACACACACACACACACACACACACACACCCATGCACGCACACAGAAATATTATTGAGCCATAGAAAAAGAATGAAATTCTGCCATTTGCAACAACATGCGTGAACCTGAAGGGCATTATGCCAAGTGAAATGAGCTAAACAGAGAAAGACAAATACTATATGGTATCACTTCTATGTGGAATCTAAAAGAAAGCCAAAGTTGCTCACTTAAGTACCACCATTCACAGACTGCAATCATGATAATCTACATTTCTAACACCAGCAACTTCTTTTTTGGTGGCAAAAAGAATTAGGGTTCATTAGAAGTATTTTATTCAGCATCCAGTCACAGAAAGGGTAGATTCAAAGTCAGAAGAACTGGCTTTTATGAAGCTAACTAAATTGCTTAAACAATTGGAAAAACTGTTTAACTTCTGTGGGCCTCTAATTCCTCACCGAGAAACAAAACAGCCTAAATAATTCATAAAGCTTATTTCAGCTCTTAACATTTTATTATTCCATGAATAGTTACTCACAAGTTGATAAAACAGAAAAGCTTTTTTTTTCCAATTTCTAAATTAGCAGGTGAAAGCAGAGTTCATTGCTAGCTTGCATGTTAAATTTCCCATGTAAACCCATTTAAAAGACTCGAACTCATTTTTATTGAGGAGTATTTTGTTTTTTCAAGGTTATCATAAAGCTTATTAAAAACACATAACTAGGTGATGGACATCGGGAGGATATGTGTTGTAATGAGCCCTGGGTACAAGACTGGTAAATCACAGACCTGTGCCCCTGAAACAAATATTACATTATATGTTAATTATATGTTAATTGAATTTAAATTTAAAAAACACACTGTGTCTAGCACTGATCATCTATTATTTGACAAACCAAATAATCTTCTAAGTTAAATAAACCTATTTATACACCTTGCTATTAGAGACCACTACTCCCCTCCAAAAACACTACAGGGAAATGTTGGTGATGAATCTGTTAAATGTTGGTGATGAATCTGTTAAACTGGCAAGGACTCACATCAAACGTATCTGTTGCACATCACTTCACTAAATACAGTAACCAAATCATCATTCGGTTTTCTGACATAACTCCAATTTACACAGAGCCCACAGAGGGGAGGTCCTAAAAACCCATGCAGAGATCCCAAGCCAGTCTGCAATCAAATTGAGCACCTCTTGCTAAGTCATGGCGGCAGGCAGGAATCCGCAGTCCCTTGGGTGGCATATCTAACATACGGTGACAGCTAGGTCAGGGACAGGTGACATCTTCACATCCATAATCGCAAATCAGAGGTGGTCTACAGAATTCAAGTGCCAACACAAGACAACTGAAGTAAGTTAGCTATCAGAAGATGGTAATTAGCAAATGATCCTTTTCTCAATGTCAGAATCAAGGGGCAGTGTGGACTGTGGCACAGGGAAGCCTCGTCTAAGGAGCCACCATTGAACTCCAGCCAATTGGTACCATCTGGGAGGACAGGTTATGCTGCCAGATATTCCAAGTTTCAAGAAAAGCTAGAAATTCATTTTAAGTATCTTGCCTTTTTTGTAGTAAAAGACATGTAACATAAAGTTTGCCATCTTTACCATTTTAGGTGTACAATTCAGTAGTGCTAACTATATTCACATTATTACACGGCAGATCTCCAGAACTTTTTCATCTTGCAAAGCTGAAGTTCTATACCTACTAAACAACGCTCCATTTCCCTTCCCTCAGGCCCCAGCCACCACCACCCTACTTTCTGCTTCTACAACTGTGACTACTTTAGATACCTTGATTTTTAAAATGTTGGCAACTAATTAAGATTTGTACCATTCTGGCTGATGACCCATTTATGACTCCTTACTGATCATTTATGATTTCTCAAAGCACTTCAAAGTTTCAAGAATGCAAAGCCAGCCAAAACATTTTGACGTTAACCCCAAAGTCAAGGACAAATTTGGGGCTCAGATGTGCTCTTCTCATCCTCATCTGTACTCTGAGAAAAGACTACAGCTTTAAGATGTGCTTTACGTGAATTCTTACCATGCCTGCTTGATGCAAGAACCACATGAGGTAGTCTTCCTGAATGTCCACAAGACTGGAAATCTCAGGAATGTAAAATGTATCATACTCCACATGCTTCACTTTGATATTTACCTGATGAAGAACAAAATAAGGAAAATTAAAACCCAGACAACTGAAAAAGGGCTTTCCATGGACAACCTCAGTAGGACATTTGAGCCTACCATCTATTCACCCCTCTCCCCACTGGCTCCTCTCTATGCTCACCTTATATAACTTCTCCAGGAGCTTGAGAGCTGCTGTAATATAATTGTTAAACAGTACAGGAATTAAGAATGTCTTTCTTCCTCTCAGCAGATAAACGACTGCACCTTTATAGAGGTTTACCAGCTTCATGAAATATTTTGGGCATACCTGAGACCACCAGTTATCTTTAGGAAGAAAGAAAAGACATATTTCAACACATATCCTTGATCAAGTATTTACGTCTTCTGCCTACTAGCTAAAAACTGCTCCGGCTAGAAAATGAACATTAGTCTAAAATACAGTTTCCCAAAACTGACTTTAAAAAGAATCCATTAAAGCATTTCTGGAGAGAGCAGGAGATCCACAAGAATCCCTAGAGCTTTTTTCATAGCGCTTGACCTGATTTTTTTTTTTCCCTCCAAGACCCATTCAGAAAGCTAAGCTAAAAGTTCAATTCCAAAGGTCTGTGTGGACAAGATGCTACACCTGTTGTGGGCAGGAGCATTCAGATATCCTCATCCTTGCTGCCCCCACCTCAGCCTCCACCCACATCCTGTAGGAGGGATGCAAAGGGCCACATGGCCCTGATAACAGCGCCAGTATGGCATTCATGCCTTCCCTCAAGAGGCACCATTAGTTGAAAACTACTATTTCTGTCTCTCCCCAAACTATGCTTTCTCATAACCAGACAAGAAGGCTATAGCATTGGTTTCTACATTGTCAGAAGTAAATTCAGCCATACTGAAATACTTAAAGGATGAAATGATAGGATGTCTACGATTTTTAAACAAATATTTCAGGAAAATAAAAAGGTGGTGGTCGGGGGAATACAGAAAACCGAAAGGGCAAAATATTGATAATCATGAATCTTTGTGTGAATGGATACCTGTAGTGTTTTCTGTACTTTGGGATATTCCTTTAAATTTAAATTTCTTTAATTAGAAGTTAAAAACAAGTGTAAAACTGAACAATTCTGATCTCTTTGTGTGGCCCTACCTGGAAAAAATTAAAATTAAAAAAAAAACCAAAACCTAAACGTCAGGTAATATTCCTTCGGAGACTGCCATCTCTCTACCTCATAGTCTACTAGAACACCTGAAAAAATACGCCCCCCAAAGGGCTTTGATCTTAAAAAAGCAAAATGAAGGACTAACATATTCCTAGTGCTTTCATTATTATTTCTGTTTTTATATCTTCTGCAAAGGTGGAAGCAATATGGAAAAGCCGGGATTCCATCCTCAGGAACACAGGTCTCTTTATTCATGGGGAGACACACTCAAGTAACATCCTAGTCCACACGGAACGCAGAAGTTACTGAGTTGCAATGAACACCTAAAAAAAAATTTACCGGGGGGGGGGAAAAAAAGGGAAAAGCCGGGTGACAGACTTTCTGCACTTGATTAATAAAAACATCTCAGGCGCTACTCCCACGAGAGACACTCTCCAATTCACTGAGGAACGGAAGGTTCTTATCTCAGCAAAGTGTCCGTGGCCTGCAAAAATCAGTGTGGACTCAACTGTCCTAAAAAAGAAAAACAGAACAAACATTTGGTAAGTCTCCACTAGGTCATTCTCTTCCTCTCCTCTTTTGGAGACCTGTGCATCACACCAAACTGTTCATTTCACTCCCACCCCCTAATTAGGTTTAGGAGAAAGACCAACAGATGGACACTAATTTTTGAGGCACTATTAACTACTAGCAAATGTAGGAGGTGAAAAAAGTAGCTTAAAGTTGGATAATCTAACCTTGTGAATATTTAAATATCAAGATTAGTCTGGCATGAATCATTTCAAGTAACCGAAATAACGGTTCAATTTGCTCATCGTGCAAATACGGCCAGTTAGAAGACAGCAGCAAAGAAAGGTAAGATTTGAGTGTTAAGCATATTAAATGGCAACAATAGATTCTCAGATCTCAGTCCACTGAGAGCCAGTGGTCACACCAATTAAATAAAAAGTGCAAAGCCACTGGTATTGGGTTTCGCAAATTCACCTAATACTTTGCTGGGGTTTGTATCCAGCCGCAGAATGGCCATGGCCAGGGGAATAGTCAACGTTATGTAATACTTGGAATCCTGGAGTAGGGGGAATTCGGGTAGTATTAAATAGATTCTCATGGCTTCGACATCTGGTGGTGAACTGGACAACTGAGGAATCAGGCAACTCTCAAAGCTGTTCAAGATCTGTACGAGAGAAAAGAATACTGAGAAACTCTAACATGCCTGAGATCTAGTCACCTTATCTCTAAATTCATAAGCTATTCGATAGACTCTCCACTCCCACTCACTCAGTATGCACTGAGGGTGCTCAGGAGATACATCAGTGGAATGAAAAGCCAAAGATCCCCACCCGTGCAGACCTTACTCTGGAAGGGCATTTCCTCAGAAAGAGTTAAGCTCAGAAGAAAGTTAAAGGTAGGTCAAATTCCCAAAGTGAACATTTTAGAGTTAAGATTTATACAAGATTTTTGCCTTTTTATCTTACTCTTTTGTTTCTCTTGAAAGTTGAATTACTGCAGTGCAAAAATGCATTTTTAAAAATATACTGTGTAAATGTAAAGAACTTACCTGTTCTAGAATCATGGAATGTTGAGAGCTCATTAACTTCTCAAATAACACTCTCGTTGAGTTCAGGTCAATCCCAGGGATTTTGGGACTTGTTTTAAAATGTTCATCAATTCTAAACAAAAATGTCAAAAGTGTGTAATAAAAGAAAAACAAAGCAAACACTCTGACAGGAATTAGAAAAGGGAAACAAAATAGTCTGTCTCTACTGATCAGATTTAAAGTTGATCTAGCAGACAAGCTGCATAAAAATACTACACTTCAACAAAGCCCAACAGAATCAAGCTCTGGAACCCCTTCTTCAAGATGATCTTAAAATTTTCAAGTGTTTTTTTTTTTTCTTCAATTCAAAGTACAAGCAAGGATCATCATTTCAGTTTGAGGCTATCTTGAAATTTATAAGCAGAGTGTTATTTCCCTGATTTACTCTTGCATTTTTGCCTTTTACTGTAATTGTGGTACACTGACCTAGATGTAGATGCTGTGCCAAGGGGCAAAACACATCCCCGGTGCAAACTGGCCCACTCATCAACAAATGGCAGGTAGAACAAACTTCGTTTAAAGCTTTTCTTAATAATTTTTTCAAAAAATCAGATCTACAACAAATACAAAGCTAATGTCTTAGTTTACACAAGGGATACAATTACATACACCCAAGGACTAATTCACTGCTACTGTTTTTAACTTCCTAGCAACTAATCATTTTTTGTAACCTTAAATAAATCTTAGCCTTTTAGAGACTTAGAGAGTATCTCTTTTAAATTCCTACTCTTGAACATTACCACATCTATTAATTACAAAAGAACTATCTATTTGCAAAACAGGCTACTGTTTATGAGTGATGGACACATTCAAATAGTTTTAACACCATCTGACAGCAATGTTGTAATTTATAAAAATATAAGTCGAGTTTCTAACATTAAAAAAAGTCATAATTATATGTATTGAAACCTAAATGGTCAAATAAAGAGATGCTTGGGCTTTGTTTGTTGGGTCTTTTGTTGTTATTACTCTAAAAATAAATCTACCCCAAACACAGAAATTAATTCTGGTGTCCTTTATGTAACCTTCCATATGCAGAGATATTTACTGCCATACTGTTAAGAAAAAACAATATTTCATCTAAATGTATTTATGCTTTGTAAAAGTGGTCTTCACTTTAATTGGTTTCCTGTGAGGCATTCTGCATAAGCTACATAAGCAGGAGTCCTGAAATAGCACAGTTGTCAGTTAAAAAAAAAAAAAGGCTTTACCCATTTATCTCTATGGAATTTATGAAACTAAAGATGAATAACCTAACAAATCTGGCCAAGGGCCATCCCAAAACTTCATAAAAACCTATCCTTCTAGAACAAGGTTTCTCAGCCTTGGTGCTATTGACTTTTGGGGCCAAATAATTCTTTCTTGGGTGGATAGGACTGTGAGATGCTTGGCAGCATCCTTGGTCTTTACCCACTAGATGTCAGTAGTATACCCCCCCCGCATTGGAACAACCAAAAAATGTCACCAGACATTGCCAAATACCCTCGGAAGATAAATCAGCGTGGTTGAAAACCACTGTCCTAAAAGACCAACATCAGCACAATACAGAACAGTTTTCCCTGGAGGAAAATGCTAAATATTAAATCTGAAATAAACTGGATGAGCTCATCTCAGCTGCCCTAATAATACAAGTAAATGGCTTGGCAATCTCTAGCTGTAACTGAAGAGTTTCTGAAGTGACCTCTTGCAACCCAGTCAGGGACATACATTTTTGGTGGGGGAGGGAGTGGGATTCACACACTGAACCAAATTCTAAATCTTCTTGGGATTTCATTCACCTGGTCACTGGCAAAAAAGGACTGAGAAATGATCAGGACTTGGGATCACCGAAGATCAAAACCCATGACAAGAACCTTCTGCTGCATGAGGTTCCTGAGGGGGACAGATGCAGAAGTGATAAGGCCAAGCAAAGAAACACTATTTCCTACCTGGAAAGTCAGCCCAAATGTAATTTCCTGGTGAGCTGAGCTAGACCTAAGGCCAAGGAGCTCCCAAAGCTTCCTTGGAACATCCCCCTAAGCTCACTCTTTTTGAGAAAAGAAAAACCTTTGGGCAGCAATCCAATGAAACTGAGATTACTTAAAGAACTAAGAATTTAAAACAAATAGGGTATACATGTTGGGGGTACCATTTTAGAACACCCTAAGAAATCCTGCTATTGATTACATCAACTCTCTCTGAGATAGTCTCACTCTTTGCCCATCAGGCATGAATCAGCGTTGCCCTTCCTGACATCCTCTCGCTCATCATTAGGCATTCCAATTTGTGCACAAATCATCAGCTTATCCACTAAACAAAAGCCAACCACCCTCAAAGAGAACAGGAGTCTCTCACGGCCTTTGCTGAGTAAGTATCTGAATCACATGTGGGTATTTTTTTAAGATTCTAAATCACTTACTTTTTTTCAAGAAAACTTCCATTCCAACAGGCTGCGGAAGATAAGATCTGAACAACACCACTGCTCAGAAAGAAAAAGGTAGGTAAGCCTTTAATAATTACAAAGAAATGGTTATTCAAGCCCAACAACAGGTTAGTCATCTATCCCAGGATTTCATTAACAGCAGCTTTCTTACCCAGATGAATCCTTGGAAAATGTACATTTGCTGTGGAGAAACATTGTGTCTCAAAATGGACAAGTACTTAAATTTTCCACAAGTCGTGTTAAAATCAAAAGTACCAAAGCTACTGAAAGAACGACTCTTGCACTTGATAATGATCTTGAACATTCTTCTACCATCAACCATCTAAGATATTCCCCGGCTCATCTCCAAACATATAATCACAAAAGAAAAGCTGAGCTCTTATCTCCCAAACACAGAATTTGTCTTTGCAAAATAATAAATGAACAACAATTTCCTTTTATTGTGTTTCTTATCTGAGAAAGAAACTGAAAATAAGTGAAATGAGTGTTTATTCCTATTACCTAGATAACAGAGGTTCTGGGAAAACAGCTACTTTCTGAGGACCCAGAAAGAAACTGTGTGTGAAGAGGCCTGGACCCTCTCAGTTAGTATATGGAAAAGGGAAGGAATACAACAAAAACATGGTTAAGAAGGGGGTTGCAATAACTTCCGGTAATGATAGAATCTGGGTCAAGAAAGTTCTCTAGAGATCATTTTTCCCACCCCCTCATTTTATAAATAAGAAAACAAGAATGAGTAAACTGTCAAGGCCCCAGCAAAAGGGAAGCCACCGGGCGCCTGGGTGGCTCAGTCACTAAGCCTCTGCCTCAGCTCAGGTCATCATCCCAGGGTCCTGGGATCGAGCCCCACATCAGGCTCCCTGCTTGCCAGGAAGCCTGCTTCTCCCTCTCCCACTCCCCCTGCTTGTGTTCCTGCTCTCACTATCTCTCTCTCTGTCAAATAAATAAATAAAATCTTTAAAAAAAAAAAAAGAAGGGGAAGCCACCCGCCCCTCCCTCGGTGAGTTTAGTCCCCTTCCCTTACCCGTACAACCTCCCAGCCTGAATTCCCCGTCAGAGCCACCTAAGGTTAGAGAAACTCTGAGGACATGAGCTGCTTGAGGGCATTCCCAATGATCCCCTGGTGCACCCCAAAGTTTAGGGCCCTGGTCATTTGCCCTACTATAATCTATGTCATAAAGCAAGATGTATTATACGCATTTAGTGTATACCACTGAGTACACAGAGTGTGATTCATTCATTCCCAAATATTAGATTCTGCAGAAAAATGGAAATGCTAAGGAAGTCAATGAAAATGCATAAAAATGTGAGGGACAAATTCTCCTTAAAATAAACTTGATAAAAGGCCTCAATCCTTTTTACTTTATTTTCTCAACCTGACATTAAATTACCATCTCAGCTAATCATTTTCAATGTGAAAATGCTAGAAATTATTCAAGATGAGGTAAGATAACAGCTGTCTTACTTTTGGGATGCTCTGGGATATGCATATGAAGAAACTCCAGGGGGTAAACAACCATAACACTGAGCTTTTTTTTTAGCAGAAAGGCCAACTCATACCTTCATCGGTGAGGATTTTTAAGATCTGAACAAGGTAAGTTTAAGGGACACACTCTGAGAGAATGGGGGGAACATTATGTTATCAGGGGCTAAGGACACCAAATCCTCAAGAAATATGTGGCAAAAAAAATGATTCCCTAAAATAAAAAACTCCACATATATTTACCACCTCATATGGAAGTAAGGAAAATTACTAAACTAGACATTCCAATGTACTCTGGAAAAAATAAAATGAAAACAAGCAGCCACATACTTGATTGTATTTGCATTGTTGTGTTCTGAGAGTTTTTGTCTCCAAACCGCTATGGTTTCATCATTTATTAAACTGGTGTAATGTGCTTGGTTCATTGTCCTGAAGTCAACAGCAGGGGAAGAATTCTGTAAAAAAGAGAAATTATGTAGGATGGATCTTTTCTCTTTCTGCTGACATAGTCTCCATTTTGGGTTTCACAGGAGCTGGGGGGCACTGCCCACATCCCCCTCTTGACTCCCTCAGCTGCTGAGAGTGTCAGCTCCTGACAGCTCCCAGCTGGGCTGCTCTCCAGAACCGGGGCTACTGGTTTAGCCCTTCAACATCTGGCAGCAAGGAGAGGGAGAGTACAAAGGCCCCTTGCCTCCACTCAGGACTGGTGAAGAGCCATCCCAACTTCAGAGCTCCCAAGGAGACTGGCTGAGGCCTCTGTTACACTGACCTGCAGTTTCTCCCTCTGCCCAATCCTGCCTCCTTCATCCCTAAATAGATGCCCTTTCTAGAGCACACTACCCCTAAAAACTTTCTCAACATAAATCTCAGTTTCAGAGACTGTTCACCAGAGAAACAACCCGAATATGGCTTTTCCACACTTCTTTCCCCTCTGCTTTGAATCACTGTAACATCAAGGTTTTTAAGGTATTAATTGTTTGCCATAACTATTCACCAAACTCCGACAAAATATATTATTAGGGGTGCCTCAGTGGCTCAGTCATTAAGTGTCTGCCTTTGGCTCAGGTCATGATCCCAGGGTCCTGGCATCAAGCCCCGCAGCAGGCGCCCTGCTCCGTGGGAAGCCTGCTTCTCCTTCTCCCACTCCCCCTGCTTGTGTTCCCTCTCTCGCTGTGTCTCTGTCAAGTTCAGTTATAATGTATAGTGCAAACAATCTATGAAAACTTAATGCCTCTTAATTTCTTGTTCCAAGTATATAGGTATACATTTATAAGAAAGGTGGCAGAAAGGACATGTCAATAATGGCCTTGAAAATTGCCAGTGCTGCACAGCATTATACATCCTTTATTCAGAGAGATCTAAAAAAAAATATAAGCACTTTCACTTTCTAAAATGTATCTTATTCACTGATATTTCCCAAATCCTGTTCTTGATCTAGAACTAAGAAAAAGTTGAAAGTGCCTTATACCCCCATAACTGTCACTAGAAAAGAGAGAAAAATTACATTAAACCATTCATCCATCAATTCATAAAATGATCGTTTTTTTTCTTCCTTTGTATCGACACAAAGAGAGACAACTTCCAAAGTAAATTTTCTTGGTTACTTCCCCATAGTTGTGAGTTAAGATATCATAATAATGGGAAAGGAAGAGGGCATGTAACAAATAACAAATCGGAGATGTTTGCCAATGTTTTTGATTATCTGGGTCTTGATCATTACTTTACGAAAATGGCCATGGACATCTATGAAAGAACAAAAGTCATCTTGAATGACACAGAGGAAAATCACAAGACAAAATGGACACTTGAGAACATACAAGCAAGATTGCCTCTTCACCCTAGCCTTAAAACCACTGTTATCTACATTTTAATTACTCTCCCCATTCACAGGGGTAGCTGAACAGACTAACACATACAATAAAATAAAAACATGGAACTATTTTCTCATTCTTCATCGTATGTCCAATAAACTACAGGTGACCTGAATGAAGTATAATCTCAGAATCACTTAAGGACCCAAGAAAAGGTTATCAATTTTCTATGCCTTCTAATTATATACAGGCCAAAAAAATTTTTTTTGATCTAGGGTCAGTGTTTCCCAACTTTGGATCACCAGAGTTTTCAAAAATCTCGATGGCTAAGTCACACTCTAGACCAATTAAATCAGAATCTCTAGAGACATCAGTGTTTTTTTTTAAAAGCCCCTAGGTGATCTCAAAGGGCAACCAAGGTTGAGAATAACTGTTGAGAAAAAGAGAATTATGTCACCTAGCAGGTTTGCAGGCACGTGAGCGCAAACACACACACACACACACACACACACACACACACACACAAGCTCACCTAACATCCCAACCACATTCCCTCTTCAATCCTACCCAGCAAACAACATGAAAGGAGGAGGAGAGGCTATGCTTTGCACTCACTGAATTGCCAAGACGTGGAGTCCAGTGTAGCAAAGCAGTATCTGTACATAACTCCTCCCCTCCCCTCTTCTACCTCAGACCTGGCATTAAGTGAATGAGTCGCATTTATAAAAATGGAGCCTGTCACAATACAGATGCTTTCTGTTAGGTCGTTAAGTGATTCTTCAAGTGTTATGGTAACGGGGTAAACACATGATTTGATCAGTCTCTGTGTCTAAACAAATATCTCTGCTTAACAGTGTAAGTAAATGTGTACAGGCTTCACTTTTAAAAAGAAAGAGCAATACCTTCCTAAGTGATAGTCTATTTTTCTTTTTCTTTTTTATCTTACATTTTTAATGCATACCACTCTTACCAGTTGTTTAACCTTTAACTGCCCTATTTCTCTAATATGACATTATTTTTTTTTTTAAGATTTTATTTATTTATTTGAGAGAGAGATGAGATAGAGAGAGCATGAGAGGGGGGAGGGTCAGAGGGAGAAGCAGACTCCCTGC